GTGTCAAGCCATTCTGGGGCGCTGACCTACCCATGTCGAGCTATTCTGGGGTGCTGACTACCCTTCGGTCCTAACAACCGAACCTCGGGGACTATTTCACCCCCTACTACTACTATCACATATAACATAACACAAACATAATATCAGACATATTTGGGGTGCCTGAACTACCCTTCGGTCCTAACAACCGAACTCGGGGACTAGTCCCCTCCTACTACCTCTATCGCATATAACATAACAAGCCAGCATGCAAACATATCATCACATACTGTCAGACGTATCTGGGGTGTCTGACTACCCTTCGGTCCTAACAACCGAACTCTACTACTATCACATACAACATATCATGCTAGCATATAACATATCAGGTAGTAGCAAACCTAGATGATATCACAAAGACAATCATCTATCATACATCTCCTACTGGTGGGCCGGCATTGTGGCCTTAGACCCACTGCTACTGGAAGGTAACTCACCTCATACTGTTGAAGTCCCGTAGTCACAACCCCACACTGCTGAAGTCCCGCAGACTCAACCACAGCTGCTGGATGACAGATTCCTAAACTGTCAACACCAAAATAACACCCAATTAATAATTGGGTCCCAACATATAACCATAAATACATACTTGGATAATTACTACATTACCCTAAGATTGGCTTATTCAAGCCCAAGGCCCAAACCATAGGCCCAAAGCGAACTAGGAATCAAAGCCCAGCATGTGGCCCGATTTTCCAAATTGGGCCTAGGTCTCATGGCCCAACATTATACAATCATTAAGGCCCAACTATGGTCCATTTATGGCCCAATTTTCCAAATTGGGCCCACCCCTTACCTGGGACTTACCCTAGGCCCATTAAATTATTTTAGCCCATATAATTATTCTTGGATGGCCCATTAATAATCCAATCATTAAGGCCCAATAGAAAGGCCTAACAATAAACCCAAGTGAAGTTAGGGTTTCACAAAAAATGTCGATTAGGTTTAAGTTTCCTACTCAACCCATTAAGGAATTAATCCATTAAGGACTTAATCCATTAAGTCCATTATCGCTTAGTTTAATCTTTGCCAAAGTTTATTATTTAATATCTCAAGTTATAAAATAATTCTTGTGTGTCCCAATTAATTCTCAAAATTAGGGTTTAATTGGCATTAGTGTTTCCAACCCAAAGACTAACCCATTTATTAACTTGTTGGGCTTCTAGATCAATTAGGGATTTATTGGGCCTATTAAGCCCACTAAAATATCATTAAGACCATTAGGGTTTTCTTAGGGTCCATTAAGGTTTTATTAAGCCCATTAAGTCTTATTGGGCCCATTAGGGCTTCCTTGGGCCCATTAGGGTTTCAAACCCTCCAAACAAATCAACACAATCGAGACAAGACACACCGCCACCCGACACAGCGGCCGGTGGTGGTTATGGTTTCTTTCTCATTATTCCATTTTCTTTTACAATTTACAATGAAATACCAAAGCTCACACACACACCCTAACTAATGTAAACACACATACATGGCGGTGTATGGTAGCAGCCACCACCTCACGGTGGTGGCAGCGGATTTTCCGGCCAACAAGCTACACACAACACATGTTATAGAAAGAACAAACATCCACACTCTTCTCTTGCTTGCAAAAAGGTCCAGCCACCCTCCTGGTGGTGGTTGGCGACGGCGGAAGTACAAAACCACGACAGTGGCGAAGGTGATAGCAACATCTTGCAGTAACAGCCACCACCTCATGGTGGTGGCGGCGGTTCTTTTGATTTACAACCGAGAAACACACACCCACACGAACTCAAGAACAGCTGCAGCAACGATTCGCGGTGGTGGTAGCGGGTTATCTTGTTTCCCAGGTGGCAGAACACCGCCGGAACGCCACTAAATGGCAACCAACAGCGGTTATGGCCTCAAACAGCTAGAAGGGGGGGTAAAGGAGGTGAAAGATGGCCTCACCGCGAGCATTCCGATCGCACTCGACTTGTATCTTCCGATCACAGTTCTGACTTCGTTCTTGGGGGGTTTCTTCATCCGTTCCCGACTTAACCGGGGCAGCAGAGGAGGTGACGATGTCGTTCAATGACATGGCGGCAAGGCTACAGCGGTTGCGTCTGGTAGTCTTGCTCGATCGGAAACGGGAACAAAGTGTGCGGCTGGAGATTTGACGAACGGCAGAAGGGAGATCTGGAGATGGCGTCGCCGGTGAGGGTGGAGTAAAGGTGGGAAACGGCTGCATCCTTAGATGGGATTAGGGTTTTGTGGCAACTGGAACATGCTAAGGCTTTATACCCGTGCCCTTCAAACTTAATGCCATAATGTCAAGATCAGTCCCTCTCCATAAAATTCTTTCCATATCAAGTCTATAATTTACCCCTTTTAACCCATCCATGCAAATCCTTTATAATTAGCTCCTCGAAATTACACCTTGCTTAATAAGTATTGATTTTAGGGTTACTAATCGTTCATTATTTTATTTATTGATTTAATAAATAAACGGGGCTTTACACACATGGAGGGCATGTGAAGATACTAACGGCTCCAAACAAACGGTCAATGACGGAATGGACTAAAAACCCATGAAAACCTTGATTTTGGACCTTTGGTGCAAGCTGGAAACTATTTGGACCCCATCCAAAGGTTTTGGCAAACCACAAGGACCAAATTTACAGTTTTGTCATTTAAATACCTATTTGAAGTTGGTTTCACATGGTTTAGTGCAACCCCAAGGTAAAATCGTCTTTGACAAATTAAGATAGTAAACAAGATGTATCCATTAGAAAATAAATTCTTGAAGATGTATAAACAGTGTTGTAAAATTCGTCGAGATAGTCAATTATTCGTCCAAATACTCCTTATTCGGCCCCTTACTGAGGCGAGTTACAGAATCCGACTATTCCCCGATCAACCTCTCCTTACCGAAGGGAATAGTGTTGTAAAACTCGGTCAACTTGGTAATTAATATGGATAATATACTTTATGATTTATTATTTAACACACACATATTATTATTACTATATATATATATATATATATATCTTAAATTTTTAGTAATTATTCACGAAGTGAGATGATTATATATTTTTTCTTTTTTGTGTTTTCACATGTATCTAACTTTGTTATATATTTCAGAAAAAATTGCAAAAATGGTCCTTGTGGTATGCAATTTTTTTGGGTTTTAGTCCAAACCCCGTGTTTTTTGGATCATTGGTCCTTTTGGAGTGGTTTGTATGTGGAATTGGTCATTGGACTTAACTCCCATTAAATATGATCTTTTAACCCCCCTCATGTGCCTTACACGTGAGGGTAAATTCATCATTTCAGATGTAAAGGACCATTATGCATAACCTGTTTTTTTGGCTTATTTGGCATTTACCTCTCTCTCTCTCTCTCTCTCTCTCTCTCATTTGTTCATGAGCTCAGGTTTCTTTGATTAACCAGTTGAAGATACGTTCTTCATTCATCTATTCATCTTTTAGAAACAAAAATTCAATGTCCAATTTTAAAAGACACACACATACACCCGAATATCAAACACCATACCGACCTGTTGCACCTACGATCATACACATCACCCCATTCTTTCACCTTCATCTCCCAACAGTTCCCCACCCCTGTACAAACCACTTTTGCAATCGATTTTTTCAGATACAAAAAAGGGAAACATCGGCGGTATGACCTAAAATCAAAATCAAACCTATAATAAAACCTATTGCAGAGTCCGTGATTTCCCCACCCACATTAGTCAGTCTCCAATTATAGAAGCACAATGCTCCAGCACATGCACCAGTAATGACATCATTACCTGCTCCTACAAAATGTCGTGGACCGAGCATCATTTCCCCTTCTCTGTTCAAGTTCTAAAAAACTTAACCAAAAACTTCTCCAATGAACACGAACTGGGTCGTAGCGGATTTGGGGTTTGTTTACAAGATTCAAGAACACGAGAGAAAATAGTGAGTTCATGTGAGGATTTAGGGCAAAGAAGGGAAGGAGCAAGTGTATTGGCGACGATGAGAGTGAAAATGGGTTAGGGCAAATAAGGGAAGGAGCAGACAACGATGGTGCGAGAGGAGGAAACAAACGGTAGTACGCACACCCCTTCCTCGCTTTACAATCAATACAAAAATCGATACTTGGAAAATGAGGATAGTTCGATTGAGCACCAGAGGATTTCTTATTTGATCTAAATGTAGAAATCATGAATTTCTTTTTTGTGTGCTTCTAATCACCAAATTCTTTATGAAAGAAGGGGAATATTGGTTATTGTTTAATTGGGTTTGTATTGAGAGAGAGAGAGAGAGAGAGGAAAATGTCAAATAAGCCAAAAAACAAGTTATGCAAAAATGATCCCTTACATATGAAATAACGAATTTACCCTCACATGTGAGGCACATAAAGGGGGTTAACAGATCCTATTTAACGGGAGTTAAGTCCAAGAACCAATTCAACATACAAACCACTCCTAGGATCTAAAAAACACATGGTTTAGATTAAAACCCCAAAATTTTGCATACCACAAGGACCATTTTTGCAATTTTGTCTATATTTCAATCAATTTATAGTTTTAACTTATGATTTTAACATATATAATTACCCTAAATTATTTCTACATTAATTATTGAATCCAATTACTCCTGAGTACTCGCTATTCGGTAGTCGGCCAAACAAGTAGCAAGTAGCAAGTTCTACAACCATATGTATAACGATACACGGTTTTAAAAAATAAAAAAATAAAATAAAATAAAAAAGTAACATAAGCTAGCAACTCTAATTGGCTTTTGTGATGTAAAACAGAAATGGAGGACAATATCTTTTAGTTCTGGGTTTAGGGTTTACACACACTCCTTATCCTACTCATAACCATTTTGTCTCCAAGGAGAGTTAAACCCTCAACCTATGGCAGATGCCCTACTCAACTCTAGACTTCATAAGGAACATCCACTGAAATGAATTGTTGGGGGATGAGTCCATATGCTTTGCATGATATACATTTAAAATAAAGCATACAAACCAACATATGGATTTTGAGCAGATTTCATGAATCAACTCAACATAAAAAAAAAAATCAAATATGTTGCAATGTCATAATCCACATCAGCAACAAATCTGTCAATGTCACTCCGTATGCAATAGGTAACAAAAATGAAATTTAAGTTTTTAAACCTATTAAAAAATGCTGAGAAAATCAAACACAACCTCAAGCATCCACTATCTCACACTTAACAGGTGCTACCCAAACAAGACTATCGACGTACTCCACGATTTTACCTGCTTCATATTCTGCATACGAAAAATCATTCTTCAAAATCTGAGCCTCTTCTGTAACTGGATCATACAAAACAAGACGAGAATACTGATCTTGAATAAGAAACTTGTTGGCTGATGTGAATCCAAACGGATACATATCACCAATAAACTGTGAAAAGACATGGCGTTTGACCCATCCATACTCCTCCATCACCCACACCTCACATCCAACATCCTCATCCCATGACATCACACAAAGCTTTCCCCCCAAAACTCCTAAAGCATCAAATCGGCCATATTCAGAAGCTACTATAGAATCTGGAAAAGGTATCTCACGGAATGTCTCTGAACCCAAATCAAACGCCACTATCGTTTTCAAATTCATCTCCTCAGTAATATAACCAAGCCAATGAAGATACCCATCATGTCCATCCGCACAAACGACTTCGTTCTCATCAATCCATGTGATGTGTGATGGAAACCTTTCGGTAATTAACTTCCAGGAACCCTTTTTCATGCTATAGATCTCAACATCCATCCACCATACAACACAGGATCCACCAGCATAGGCTGTAAGCTTCACAACTTTGTAATCATCAGTTTTTGGATCAAACCCAAACCGGAATAAGATTTTGATTGAATCATAAGCACTGCAGGGCATGAAATATGGCGGAAGAGTTAACACAGTGGAGAGAGAAGGGTTCCAAATCTGAATGACCGTATCACTGTAAGAAGAGCATATTAAGCCGTTGACAGAATCAATAACTCTGATGCTTGTATGTGGAGATTCGGGGTTAGGTGGAAGTTTGATGAAACTAATGAGTTGGGGATTGGGGTTGACCGAGAGTTTGAAGCCATAATAATGGTCATCAGAGAAGTGAAAGAGAGTTTTATCTTGGTTATAGATGGAATGATTGAGTTGGGTTCTTACAAAGGAGGATTTAGATAATAGGGAATTCCAAGATTTAGAGATGGATCTCATTTGAGCAAGCTGTTTGGCCAGTAAGCGAATGAATATATTTACCAAAAGCTCGTTTGGGAGGTTCTCAATAGTCGTTGGTTGTTGTGGTGAACCCATCATTGTTGCATTTTTGTTAATAAACTTTGAGTCTTGTCTCAATGCTATTGGGCCAGTGCCCATGGTGCTACCTTTGTTGGCATCAGCAGGTGAAGCAATCTGTTTCTCAAAAACCTCATAATATAAGTAACACATATTGCACTTGAAAATGTAATCATGGATTGATGCTCAAAAGGAACAACAAAACCACCAAAAGAGGTGCATGAACCTATCACTCACTCTTGAAAATTTAGTAGCAGCAAGGAAGTTATCAGAAGGTGACTCCTCAATGGTTCTTGAATGCAACAATGCTATCAAGTACAGGGTTTCAGACCTGTAGTAGCAGTATATGTATATATTTTCAAATACTTTTTTACCTCAAAATCAAGTTTTGAGGTAAAACTACCACTCCTCTCAGGTTCAAACATGCAGTATGAAGTAAAGGATTAAAAAAAATAATAAAGTCACCACCTAGAGGGTAAATAATAACAGTGTGCAACTGTATTAAAAGAAAGACAGACCTAGTAAATGTCATATGTTTTAACATTTGTTCAAGCTGTGATTTCCGAGCTTGATGGATGCTAAGATCTGATACTCCACTTGAGTTCTGCAGTCAAGAAATCATTGAGACAAGTACACAATATTATTGATCTAGTAAAGAATAAAAATACTACAACCAACAACAATTTGAACAACTCCTTCCATCTACTTATAACAGTTAACATAAAAGGTTTTTTAAATAAGTTGTTGCCATCAACATAACAGGTTCTTTGCCACACATTGATTGGATGAATTTAAGAGATAAATGTGAAGAGAGTGGATGTGTGAACTCCACATTACTCATCATTTTATGTCCAATTTCAATGATATAACAGATTATTTGTTAGTGAGTTCAAGCAAAGGGCAACCAAGTTCAAGTGTTCAACTCATAAGAGGTTGAACTCCACTGTTTATCACTTTATGAGAAATTCCATTGATAGAAACATTTGCAAATCCCAAATTATAATAAAGTATATTTGACTATTTGTTCATGAGTTCAAATAAAGGGCATCCTCGTTCAAGTCATAAGAGGAAGCTGCTCAGAGTCAGTGTTATAAGCAATATATAGCATTTAGGATTGAACCAACAAATAAGCCATGAAGAAACATCATAAAACACTGAAAAACAGGTATTATTATTTTTCCCTTCTAAATAAAACTAGCCTAATTCGAGAAAGAAATTGATTTAAGTATCAACAATGAAAACCAAAGGAGGTTTGGAAACTAACAAAAAAGCAAAAACTAGCAATGCTATTGCCATAATTATTGACATCATTATACCACATTATAATATGTGAAGCACACAAATCAAATGATTCATCGCACACAGATGAAGCACACACTCTAATCACCTATGTTAGAAATCAACAACTTACATTTTGCCCTGCCTCCTGAGAAACATTCTTGGGTTCTTCATCAATCTCTGGTTACATAAGAGCTTTTGTAAGAGGCATGTACATCATAAGCTGAGATTCAAATGAAGTAATACAAAGGCTATTTATCATAAATATCTTAAGTTCCAGACAGACAAATACAAACATTTATAACAAGATTGACACATTGCCAATATCACTTATTACAAGAAAAAAAAATGATTTAAAGATGTAGATCGATGAAAAACAATTTGATGCTTAGATAGTTAGATGCATAACATAGCATGCAGAAAATGATATGTAGTCTAATGTGATGGTTGACACCACATGATAACTATGATTATGTTTCATACAATTTATCTATTTTAATAATTACTGGCAACTTTTCTAGTTGTCCGCAATAAACTCATAAAAGCGCGATGTGGTAAAACGAATAGTCAGAGAAAAAACCTAATCAATTGAAAACAAAATGCAGCAATCATCCATCAAAACAAAGGAAAATCTAATACAAAGCAACACTAATTATGATATCCTAAGATAGCCATATGAAACAGTCTCTAAATACAGCCAGATAAACCTTAAACAGGGTCACATAGGCAAGTATAATTTTAAAATTGATCAAAGTTACAGCAAAATAGTTGAACCTGGCCGCAAATGGCTATTCCAAAACTCTTCTGGAGCTCCGCGGTCGCCCGCCATCGCCATTGGAAGGCTGGAACTGCCGAGGAGTGAAGAGAGAAAGGGAATGGAGCGAGATTGAGAAACGGAAAGGAGGGAACCGAGTATGGATTTTAGCTTATTATGCCTTTTTGTAGTTTGAAAATATTTGTGAGAATTTAGCGAATCTCTTTTAAACTCTCTAAACTGCCACTTGTTGATTTTCTACACCCTTTTTATATGCCACGTGCCTCTTTTCTCTTTTCCCGCTTAAAAATTTTAGTCGGTTTTATTTGCCATAAACTTTTATCCTTCTTTATTTTCCCTAATTTTCCTCCTTATTTAGTTTCCTTTCTTATTACAAATGCACCCCATAAAATCAGTAAGAAATCTTCGTCAACAAATCAACAATTAATTCGCAAGAAATCACGAAACATAATCATCTTTAAAATTGAATCAGTTTGACTAGGTTTTATTCGACTTCATATCTCGTCAGGATTAATCCACGCTTCTTCTCTTCGTTTCTTACCCACCAAGCTCCTCCAATTCCTTCCTCTTCAAGCAGCTTTCGACGCAAATAGGTGAAAATACGAAGATTTGATATGTGAGATCTCACTATTCTGCGTTGTTTTGTTTCAATGGAGATTTTCGAAGGTAAAAACAGTTCTAATACAAATACCTCATTGTAATTTTAGTTTCATGACCAAGTCTATTGAACCCCTTTCACGGTTTTGGTAATTTAAACTCTATCATCTGTTTGTTGATTGTAATCATTTTGAAATTTTTTGAGTTGTGTTCATTTATATTTTGTTCTTAATGCAGGGCCTTCATCGTTGATCTTTGTCTCATGGTGGAGATTTAGGTTGATTTTGTAATCCATTAAATGAAACAAAAATCATCCAATCTTTTGTCACGCCAGGATTTTTGAACTACTTGCTCCTCAAATACTTTGATCTATGTGTGAAAAGAAGCTGCTAAAACCTTTTCACCTTTTTAGTTTGGGCCAGTGAGGTCTTTTTAGTTTGGGCAAGTGAGGTCTTGTGTAAGCAAGTGGTTTGTAACCTAAAGGTTGGTTTCTTTACTATGTTTGTCAAACCTTTACATGAACTGAATTCAAATTACAGAGAATATTTACACTCCATAAACAACTTTCTAATAGTTCTCTAATTGATAGATTTTGAAATAATCTATTACTTTTTGTTTGTTTCTCCCTAATAGCCTTTTTATCATGGTTTCCATTATTTGATGATATTGTATGATTGGCCAGAGATTTTGCTTAGATTAAAGTCATATCTAGATGAGACACTATTCCAAAGTTGAGCGTGAGAAGTTTAACAAGGTATGACCTTTTCTTAGTAAAAGAAAATGGAAAGAATTATACTTCAAAGATAGATATATTTGACGGTTATGTATGATTTATTATTTTATCTTATGCTTACAGGTGATTTTAGGTGTTAATCGCCCATATATTATCAAAGTAATTCCCATGAAGATATTGGTTATCGACATACTTAGAAATATAGAGCTTCTTTTTATTTTCCCTAAAAATTACTTGGGAATCCATCAAATACGTATGTTTGCTAATATGGATTGTTTACTTATGAATATCATGAATTTTTGTCTTTAAGTTTGTTTTATGGCAGGAAGAGAAGGGTGGACGATTGCTAGCTTTGTTTTTTTTTTTTTTTGCTTTTTAGTACTACTTTACAAAAGGTGGTTAATGTGGCTACTTCAATCCATTTCGGCTTGAAATTGGTCAGCCCCTACCTGATTTCGGGTTGCTTTTGAAGTAAATAATTATTGGATTCAAGGTACATTTTTAATATTAAATGGATAACAATATACCATATTTTTGGTTAATTAGCATTTTTCACTTTATGGTGATGTTTCCATGATTTGAAAGTAAATAAAAAAGTACGAAATGGATTCAACAAAGTATGGAATTGGAAATCAAGCATAGTTATGGACAAATATATATATATATATATATATATATATATATATATATATATATATATATATACTATAATTCTGAAGTATTTGACCTAAAATAGTTAAAAATTAAAATCTATCTCCAATACAAACAAACAGAGTATTTTATTAATTTTACTTTGAATGTTTAAGAAATTGTCCAAATAGAACCAAGTTTCAATACAGTGTGTCATGTTAGATATGGAAGGAATGGTTACTTCCACTTAAAATGTTGGAAGATTTTAGTAAGTAAAATAAAGTAAAAGAAATTTTAACATTAACTTGAGTACCAAAGGCCCAAAATGTATGTGTACCATCACCGTTCATTTTGGATTTCTCATTTGAAGTGTATCCTTGATCGTTGCAATGTTCTCTTCTTTTAGGTGGGTTGTTAAAATTTGGAGTTTGGACGTGGCATTGAAACTTGCATATTCGATAAGCTTCATAAATTTGTCAGTTCTAAGGTTCAAAACATTAACTTCAATTTTCAATATTTTGTTTTTGTTTTATTTTTAAACAACATGGTTTTCTTTTCAATATGTCAACTTATGGAGAGGGATGACAGTTTGCGCAAAAAAATAATGAATATGAGTTGGGGTTGTATACGACCCAAAATATCCAAGTATCCAACACATGTTGGTGGGAAATGCAGGTTTGGTTGTTGCTTGGTGTCACTCACTTCCACTAGAGGTGATGATATTGATAAGAACTCTATTTTTATATAAACTTCAATTTATTTATAAATTTTACAAATATCGTTAATTTGTCAGATTTATATCAATACAACACGTTTGCATAAACATCTTGTTGGTTCCACAAACATCTTTTTGAAATCCAATTTTTTTTTTAATTTCCTATCAATTTTGTCCCCAGTGTCATCAAAGTTAACATTTAACTGTCAAAGTTTTATAATGACCACAGGGACCAAATTTTACCCTAATATGTTTTATTTATTTTCATTAAATTAACCTTTAGAAATTCTTGAATTTTTAGTCATGGATCATGCTCAAATGATTAGTTATGGATTTATATTCTATGGTTCTTATGAATTGTTGGTTTGTTAAGGGATACTGATATGCTTCGGTGGTTGTAATGATCTTTCACAATATTACCGACATAATGTCTAATTTTATAAAAAAAAATGAAAATATAGGATTAATGATTTTACACTTTGTAAGATTTCGATATAGTATTTATTTTTGGACTTTTTAGTTTTATTTTAACACTGATATTTTATTTTCTACCGATTGTCATCGAGTAACAGATAAGAGTTCTGTATAATTAGACCAAATGAATTAAACAACATGAAATAAAACAAAATTTCCAAGCCTAATTTCCTACATAAACCAAAACGTCTTCTACGAATAGAACATTAGAGCTCTACATTTATATTGAAATCTTACAAAATGCACAGACCAGATTTACTTAGGAGTCACTTTTTGAAAATGAGAAGATGTTTAACTTAAGGTCAAAGGGGGCGATATAAATCTTGAGGATTATCAAATATGGAAACAATTTTTGTTAAGTACAAACATGTGTATCGCATAGTTTTTTTTTTTTTTTTTAAAGGGATCTTCCCTAACGAGGGTTTCCGGGCCAGCTTTCGCGCACCGACTAATCCCCCGCTGCAAACATAAAGCTTTGCTTCATGCCCTGGAGTCACTGCAGGCGAACCTCCATGGCCACAAGGGCTGAGTGGTGCCAGGATTTGAACATGGGTCAATAGGTTATCCACCATATCTTCCACATGTCTTACCAAGTCACCACAACCCAAGTGGTTATGTGTATCACATAGTTAACATGTCAAACTTTGTAAATAAATTAATGAATAACGATTCTTATTTTTAGTCGATACATTATTTTACTTCGTGAACCGTGGTTTCCACGGGTTATAACCTAGTTAAATATAATAATATCATAATTTTTCAACTTTATAAACAGAGTAAATTACACAATTAGTCCCTGTGGTTTGGGGTAACCTATGTGTTTGGTTCTTAATTATATTTTTTAACTTGAACAGCCCCTTAAACTTTATTTTGTTGCGTATTTGGTCTCTGCTAACATAAAAAGACAATTTTACCCTTATAAATTTTATTTTATTTTTACTAATTAGAAAAAAAAAACATTTAATAAAAAGTATATGTGGGTTCCACCCACTCCATTACTTGTCTCCCTCTTTGTGTTGTTCTAATATGAAGATTGCAACATCCATCTTCACCACCTCCCACCATCATCCACCCTTCTCCTCATCCTCCTCCTTCATTGTCTATTAAATCTATTTCCTCCCCTTCACCTACCTCTGCTACTATGTTTCCTGCATCATTGACGCTACCTCATTCACTCTGTTTCCAAGCTTAACCCTTTATGTTGCCCACTTCCTCATTCTCTACTGCCCATCTTTACTATAACTATATTCCCAGGTTTCATTGCCCACTTCCTCCTTCTCTACTGCCCATCTTTACTATAACTATATTCCCAGGTTTCATCCATGATTTTGTTCAAAAAAACAAATGTCATAGTAAGAGCACCCCACATTCCCATGTCATCTTGATGCATGTGGCGTGGATCCCCCCCCCCCCCCAAGGACCGATATCGATGACGCAAAGAAGAAGCATAACCAAGTCCTACCCTTTTAGAACACTGGTCAACAAAAAATTATCGCCACGTATGCTTTTTCCGACGAACAAAACCCAGGCATATTTCTTTCCCTACATTATGAGGTCTATTTTCCTCTCACTCCCATTTGCCTCTATTGGAAGTGAACTTAATTTCTACTCCAAAAAAATATGGTAAGAATCTATTGTTTTTGGGTTTGAACAGATTTGATTCATGGGTTCGATTTTTTTATTTGATTTTTGGTTGGAGTGAATTTATGGGTTAGATTTATGATTTCACTTCATTTTTTGATTTCTAGGTTTGAATGTGTTGGGTCGAATGTAGATAGTTAGAAGTCGAAAGTAGTCAAAGTCTGTAAGTGTCAAAAGTAGTATGGTTTCGAAACATTATATATTTACAAGGCATTTCAATTTCGATGTCTAGTCCTTGTATTTTTTGTAAGTGTAACATCCCACGTCAGA